CACCCTGGTTGATTTATCATAGTCCAGAAGTGGGTATCACCTGACTTTGTTTGATCAGTGTATAAAATAAGAATGCCACCTTTAGCACACAAAGAGAAGAATGTCTATCAGGTGGATCTGAATCTCTGCATCAGTATGTCTAGCACATTATGTCTTACAAGCAGAAGCCGGGTAGTGACTGAAGTACTGTTTGGGGAGCACAGATTGTTTTTTTTGCAAGAAATGATTTGATGACTTGAAAGCTTAAGAGCATTAGGCTGGATAGCCAGACTCACCCAACTCCACAGTAGGGATGACCTTGCCCACAAGACCCCAATATTCCAAGTATGTTGATCAAGACCCCCTTCCCTATATCCTGATAGTGCTCAGATATGCATCGTCAACTTGCGCCTTTGTAAGTCCACCTTTCCCTGTATCTGGCTCTTCCTTTAAGGCTTCCTTTACTATCATAACCTGCACAGAAATCACCTGGGGATCTTGTTAAATGCAGATGTGGATTTAGTGGGCCTGGGGTGGGGCCTGAGAGGTTTTAGTGCGTGCCAAAATGCCTCCTGTCTAGTACAACCTAGTCTTCTGAGCCACTGAATCCTTTAAAAGAATGTCTTTCTTATCTGTGCTCTAATCCCCATTTTGTGGTTATTTGTAATTTAATATTCAGATGGGTAATCCTCTGTTCCAGGCCCTGGTTGAGAAGGGGGCACTTGGGTGGCTTCCTAAAGCATCAGGGAGTGATCTCTAAGGAGGTGGGAGCTTCACCTGGGGGTGGAAGGACTGAATGTCAACTGGCTCAGACTTTGTGGTTTCATGACACGATCCCCATGGCCCAGAAGCTGCAGACCAACCACTCACCCTTCACTTTCATTTAAAGCTGGAAAACCTAGTCACCCGAAATTTTTGTTTCCTCTTTTTATAGAGAGAGGAAAACAAAACTTAAGTAAGTTTTTGTAAAGGTTCTTAGCTTGAGCCTTAAAAGCTAGTCCCCTTATAATTTTTAATGAAGATCTGAATAGAATAGGGTCAGGGAATTAACCACAAGTATATTACTAACACTGGTTTACATTTTAAAAGCACCTGACAGTTTCCAAATCATTTGAATATCCACAATCTGTTTGATCCTTTCAACAACCCTGGAAGGTAGAACAGGCATTATTATTCTTTTTTATCTCAGTTTCTGGATAAAACAATCTCAGAGATCAAGTGCCATCCAGGTTCAAACAGCTACTTGGTGGTGGAGCTTGGGTTCAACAACTTTTATTTTATGTTATTATTTTTTAATTCAAGTATAATTGAATTACAATATTATATTCATTTTAGGTGTACACCATAGTGATTCAGTATCTTCATATCTTACAAAATGATCACCATGATAAGGCTGTTACCATCTGTCACCAAAGTTGTTACACTATTATTGACTATATTCCCTATGCTGTACATTACATTCCCCGAGACTTATTTATTTTATAACTGGAGGTTTATATCTCTTAATCTCACTTATTTCACTCTTCCTCCTACCCTCCCCCAGGCCCCGCCGGCAACCACCAGTTTGTTCTCTGTATCTGTGAGTCTGGGTTCAGAGCTTTTTAATGCTCAGCAGGCATTCACAGCTGTTACCTCGTGTACTATCTGCCCCCACCCTCCGATGTGCCTACCACATTTGCCCACAAAATGATTAAAAATTACCCAAGAACCCAGAGCTGGGAGCAGACTTGGGACTCAGGCCTGTATATTCTCTCTTAGCCTAGGTTGCAGGTCTTCTTGGTTTTTACCTGAAAACAACTGCAACAGTTGCTGCTTCTCCTTCCAGGTTTCCCATAATTTGAGCGTGCTCATTCTCACTGCCACCGTCCCTACCTGGGATGTCATCATCACACACCCAAATTATTGCCGCAGCATCACTCTAGGTTATTAAGACTAGAACAGACACTGCTGGAGCCCTACTATGTGCCAGGCCTGAAGGTAGAAATGACTACGTCCTTGTCCCTGTCCTCAAGGGCTTTCCAGGAAACAGACCCGAAACAGGTCCCTGCAACAGTACAAGGACTGCGTGGTGATGGGGAGACATGCAGGGAACAAAGGAGGGGCTGGGTGATGGCAGGCTGTTCCTTCCCATTGGTCTTCTGGCCGTCAGATTCTCTTCCCTCACAGGCACTCAGTGTTCTGTGTGTTCCCTGGTCAAGATCCTTTACTAACTTCACAGTGCCAAGACTTCAGCTTGGCATTTATTTTTATTTTTTTATTGAAGTATAGTTGATTTACGATCTTGTGTTAGTCTCAGCTTGGCATTTATTGTCCCCATTATCTGGCCCCTGCATTTTACCATTCCTCAGGACAACCCTCTGTGCCAGTCACAACTTTCTCCTGATGGGCCCAGAGACTTACTGCTGCATATTCCTATGATCTAGTCAAAGAATCATGGTAATAATCCTAGTCCTACTTATTGCTTGACTGTATCACTCTGCTAAGCATTTTTTCATATTATTTCACGTAATCCTCATAACTCATTGTGGTAGGTACCATCTTCCTAGTTTGGTAGAAGAGAAAGCCAAGGTTCAGAGAGGTTAAGTAACTTGACCAAGTCACACAGCTTAAACACAGCTAAGTAGAACTCATCCCCCAAGGTTAAACCCCAAATCATCCCAGTCTTGACATTTACTCTACTGAGATGAGGAGCAGAAAATGGCGTATATCAGGGGTTAGTAGTTTTGTCTCCTCACTTCTGCTGCTCCGTATACCCCAGAGACTCTCTCTTACCTTGAATTCCCTCAGTTGCTGCTTGTTCCCTTTACACCATGTGATCCTGGATTACTTAAGCTTCCACTGCCTTAGAATTGTTCTCCAGTGATTTCATGGAGATGCATTTGAGCCTGACTACAAACTATTATTCAGACTTGATAGACAGCCAACATTCATAATAATAACTAGCAATTAATGTTGCTGAAACTGGAGAGCAGTCTGCAGAACACCAGCAGAGGCATCAAGACAGCCTGGCAGTGTGATTAGTACAGTCATCACTCTGGCCTGCAGTTTCCTCATCTGTAAAGTGCAGGGGCTCCATCTAGACACTCTTCAGTCCATAAACATTTATTGTACTCCCCCCGCCCCATGCACCAGGCACTCCTCTAGGTACTGGGGGTAAAACAGACAGAAATCCTTGCTTTCCTTCTGGTAGGAGGAGACAAGAGACAAAGTAGATACGTGAAGTATCTATTATGTCAGACGGTGGTGAGCGCAACAGAAATTCAAAGCAGGGAAGGAGGAAAGGAAATGCCAAGGAATGACATTATCTGACTTAGATTTTATAAAGCTCTCTAGCTGCTGGTGGAGAATAGACTGTAACAGGACAAGCTAGTGAGCGGGAGACCAACTAGGAGGTAAGTGCAGCGATCCAGGTGAGGGCGTGTGGGGTGGCTAGGGCCAGAAGTTGTGCTTAGAAGTGGTCAGGTTTTGGATATATTTTGAAAGTAAAGCCAGAGTAATTTACTGATGGATTATGTGTGGAGCTGACTCAAGGATGTCTCCAAGGTCTTTGCCTTGGAAGGAACACCTGAAGGATGGGGTTACCATTAGCTAAGAGGGAGAAGACCATGATAGGAGCAGGTTTTGAGGAGATAACCAAGTGGAAATATGGAGTCTGGAGTTTAAGGCTGGAGACATAAATGTGAGAGAGTCATCAAGGCAGAGATGATGTATCAGATATCTTTTAGGCATGGCTTTAAAGGCTCTGGCCCCACCCGTTCCTCCACCTGATGTAATGCAGCTGATGTTGGCCAGATTTGCAACGAGTATGGACTGACAGTGCGTCACTCCCTCCTGCTCAGTGCGTCTCTTGCTTCCTGCCCAGGGGTGGCTGTAGGACAACTCACTCCTCTCTGCCATATGTACAACCCAGAATTATTGAGGGTTTGATGCACATGGGACCCCCCTCCCCTTAACCAGTGGTGGATGGAAGCTGGTGGATAAATGCAGATCCCTCTTCATCCCTTGACAGGAAGTTCTGAATCTCCTCATATGGTTCTGGGGAGTCAAGCATCAATCTCTCATAGCAGTGGTCAGCTCAGTAATGCATCCTTGAATTGGTTTCCCTTTTTCTGTTTCTCTTGCCCTGTCCCTCATTTCTGCTGTCAAGAATTAAATTCCCATATAAACTACCTGCATGCAAACTTTTTATTAGGTTCTGCTTTTAGGAGAACCTGGGTTAAGACAAGTGGCACTTAACACCCTGAGACTGAAAGAGATTACCAATGGATTAATGAAGATTGGGAACAGATCCAAGGACTGAGGCCTAGGAACCTCCAACATTTTGAGGTGAAGGAGATGAGGAGGGGCTAGCAAAGGAGACCCGGAAGAATAATCAAGAAAGCATAGTATCATGGAAGCCAAGAGAAAAAAGTGTTTCAAGGAAGAATCATCAGCTGATTATCGCTGAGCAGTCAAGTAAGATGAAGACTAAGTGATGACCATTAAGTCTAACCACAGTGAGAGAACCGGTAACCTTAACAAAGAACAGTTTGAGCGGAGTTGTGGAATGACCAAAATGAGTTCGAGAGAGAAGACAGAAGGGAAGTAGAGTCAAGAGAGACTTTTTTTTTTGTTGGGAGAAATTAAAGCATATTTATATATATTTATATGATGATGGCAAATGATTCAGCAAAGAGGGAAAAACAGATGATGCAGGAGAGAGGAGGGAGCACTGCTGAAGGGAGGAGGAGATGGGATCAGTGGCCAGTGCAGGTGTTTGCCTTAGATAGGAGCAAAGGACAGCTTATCCCCAAACTGCAGGAGAGAAAGCAAGGTTTGGGGGCAAATGCTCACATCCTGTCACTCACTGAGTGCTTGAGTTGCAAGAGGTCATAAGACTTTGAGTCTGTGCCTTCCACCATTCCCCTCCGGTTTACAGAGGAGACCCAGAGAGAAGGGACATACCATTGACTAGAAACCAAGGCTCCTCTGTCCCACCCAGCACTTAGGGCTCTTCCCTTGGGCCAGAATCTGTCACTCACCTCAGCTGTGCTCTGGGTAGTGGACATTAGTCTCATGGACTCCAGGAAGGATATTAGATAGGGAAATGGAGAAACGGTCAAGCTTCAGGATAGGACCAACAAGCCATGGGGTGGATTAATCTGAAGGTCTATTGATGAGTTCAAGGGGTTTTCCTAGATATGTTTAGGAGTCAGTGTAATCACTGCAGGAAAAAAAAAAAAGCTGTAAACTGACAAATTGGGTTGAGAAAAATCTGCCAAAATGCAGGAGGGTATTATAAATCCCAGTGCAAACAGAAGGGCACATAAATGCTTCTGGAATATAGATTCCTGGTTTCAAATATTCTGTTAAGCCTTGTTGCTTAATTTGTGGTTTGGAAATACGGTTCCTCTCAGCTTAGAGTTAGTGCAGCCTGAAGAGTGGGCAGTGAGGTCATAGGACAGGGAGGCCACAGTAAAGAGGCACAAACATGCTGGGCCCGTGGAAGAGCCACACCAGCCTTTGCCTTGACTTCTAGGAAACTTGTAAAACCACTGCAATCTCTTTGCCCTAATTCCATTCATTTCACAAACATTCTCTGCACTTTTGTGCTAAATGCTACAGGTATGTGGGGTAGGGGCATTGGGGGATACACAGGACAGACACGCTGAAATAGAGGTCCTGCCTTCACATTTTTACAGTCTTATAGGAAGAAATTTCACACATTTGGCTGTGATTTCAGGTCCACTGGCCAGTCTCCCGTTTCCCAGTCCCGGACAGAAGGGGTGTACAGTGTGGGGAGATTGCGTCCCTACCCACTGCAAAGATAGCTCCCTGACTGTGGATTCAAAAATATAAATTATGAACTGCTCTTGGGTACAAATTACTCCCATGTGAGCTTGCTGAGCGTGATCCACTTATCTCTAGGGCTGATCGCTAGTTAAATCCTGCCCAAGTAGCCGAAAGCCTGTTTGTTTTATGACAAACAGTAGAAAGGGGCCCTGCTGAAATTCAGGCCTCAGTTAGAACCTTAAGCCAGTGCTCTAATATGTTTGTTTGGGGAATCCTTCAGCTGGCACAGTCCGGGAACCGCTCTCCCCGCTTCCCATCAAAACAATATCAAAGCAGACGACGACGCACAGGCTCGGTTGGGACTTTCCACCATGTGGGGGTGGAGGACACGCTGAGGGAATGGGGACGGGGGGCAGGGTGGGTGCTGGATGTCACCGTGCGATAACCCAGGACTGCTTCTCTGAAGAAACGATCTCTTCGTTTCTCTTGCCCTTTGCAGCTGTTTCAGAGCACCTGCCGTATCAGTGATTTCATAGAACCCTCACATGCTCCCCGTGAGGGAGGTGGAGCTGGTCTCATTATCACCCTGGTGCAGCCTAAGGGACCGAGGCTTCAGGAGGCGACAGGACTCAGCCCAGGTCACCTGGCTAATAAGCGGTTGAGCTGAGACTCAAGTCCACGCCAACTGACAGTGACTCGGACACCCTGGTGACAGAAGTCTCCTCAGCCCCCCACTCTTCAGAGGGAGGTGTGGCCCTCGCTCCCACAACAAGATTCCTGCTTTGAGTCCCAGCTCTGCCCTGGGCAGCTGTATCACCTGGGCAAGTTGTTTAAGGGTCTCTGTGTCTCTTTCTTCATGTGTAAAATGAGCAGAATAATAATACCAGAGTCCCGATGGGGTGTTTTGAAGAGGGAAATGACATGTTTTAGCAAGAGCAAAACACACTGTTGGGCACAGTGCAAGACATCAATAAGTGTCATAGCCCCCACCCCCTGAAGTCTTCCAAGGCACAACCAAATGACTGTATTTAAGAATCCTGCAGAAGGCTCCCTGCTTTCCTTCCTCCTGTCCCGCACTTCCCTCCCTCTCTCTGGGATAATGTTCCCTCCGCTTGTACAACTCTTTCTAACTTTTCAAAGTGCTTTCCTCTTGATCCTCCTGACAACCCTGTAAGATAATAGAACCCGAAATCTTCACTTCCTTCTTACAGGTAAGGGGGAACCAAGGTAAGAGAGGCGATAGGCTGCCCTGGGGCTACGCCTCTGTTCCCCACGGAGTTGGGACTCTCCCTACTGCAGTTATCACTCGGGTTACTTGAAATCTTTAATTGTGTGGGTTTCCTTTTCCGCCTTTGGAAGTGGCGGGAGGTGACCTAATTGAATCTCTGAGAGCTCAGGATTACCTTTCAGAATGAAAACAGTGGAGAGCAAAGTGGTTTGCAGCCCAGAACCACCCCCCCAGGCCACTCAGCCTTCCTGCACTTCAAGACCTGGACCCTGGGGTTGGAAAGGCAACCCAGGGCAAGGAGCAAATTCCAGCTGACTCCCCACAAGTGGGTGAGAGTTGAAAAGGTCAAAGGCCGCTGCTCCCGCCTGAGATTCCAGCGTCAGCTCTGCCACCTGATATGTGAGAACACCTTGAACGAGTCAAGGTTCAGCTCAGTTTCCTCATCTATAACAGGAAGACGGGATTTAGATAATGTCTCAGCGGCCTTTCTGAGAACCTGAAAGGGACTTGCCTGAGGACAGCAGTGGCAATTTTTTAAAAGACTTTATCATGAAAGTTTTCAAACAAATTCAACATCAACAAAACAGTGTTATGAACCCCCAGGTATCCCAGCTTCGACAATCAGGAACATTCCGGCTTTCTCGTTGCCTCTCTACCTCTACCGTCTACCCTCTACCTACTTGATGGTTATTTTGTAGAGTTCTTATTTTCAGGTGAAACTTACAAACATAGAAATGCAGAAATCTTTGCTGTGTAATATTAAGAAATAAATCTGCCCATGTAAGCTACACCTCTATCATGACATAGATTACTTCTGCTTTCCTAGAAAGTTCTATCATGCCCAATCCTGGGCAAACATCACCTAAACGTGAGTTTAGCACACAGGCTGGTGAAGGCTCTCGTTTCGGGGCTGGCTAAATCAGAGTCAGATCTGCTGTCTTAAACTATTGCCTCCTGATTCTGTCCAGTCCTGTCATCTCTGTGTCCCCGGAGATTATGGGTTTCTCCCCTGTGTACTCTGTCCACTTCTTCTATTACAAGGACTTGACTACCTCGGCTACAAATTCTTAGAAGCTCTCTTTTCTTTTTCCTGCACACTTACTCTTCTCCAGCTTTTTTTCTTTTGTTCTCTTCCATTTTTCATTCCTATAACCGCTTTCTCATGTCTGCCGCTGTTTCTGTCCTTTAGAATATTCTCACTTTTCTGTGTTCAGCCCATCTTCTCTAAGCACACTGTCCTGTGTCTGTTCACACCCTGGACACTTGATACTGAGCCATTATTTCAGGGTCCAGCCCAAGGCCAGGCACTTAATCACAGTGATTGAGTGAATATGCAAAGGGCCACATCCTCTAGAAACACCTGAGTATAGTAACTGTAACCTGGTCCACTAAGGAACCCCAACTTGTCCGCCTTGCCATTTCTGGATCACCTCTATCTCTCCGCATGGAGCACAATGATATTAGCTGCCCCTTGGGAAGCACCAGCATTTGAAAGGAAGGAGGCTGATTTCCTGACAAAATGTGACCCAAAGGACCATCCTCCTCCCACCCCTCACCATTTAAAAAAAAAAAAGAAAAGAAAAACAGAGCAAGCTGGGCTATCAGGGATATTTCCTGTTTTCCGCTCTTGAAAGCATCCTGGATAGATGGAACTGAGGGATCAAAGGGACTGTCTGCCTCTGGGGCTTGGGGACTGGCAGAATGGCTTTTAACCCTCTGCTATATCCTACTGTGAGTGGCATAGGCAGTTTATCTTCTATTTCCAGGGAAGATTTAACTTCTTGTGGGTAAGGGCCTTGTTATTAATTCATTCATCAGACATTACTGTACTCTACCAAATGCCAAGCTTTGTGTGAGGATCTGGGGTTACAAGATGAATATGACACAGTCTCTGGTCTCTTTTCTCTAACAGCAATGACCACAAGTGTTAACGTGATTAAGCACTTTCTCCATATCAGGCACTCACTGCATGCTTTTCATACATTAGATCCTCACAACAAGCTTATGGGGTATTATTATGCCCATTTTACAGATAAGGAAAGCAAGGCTTATGGTGGTTAAATAACCTGTCATGGGCACATGACTAACAGATGTCAGGGGCAGATGTCAAGGCTGGGGTTAGAGTCCAGTGGTCTGACAGTTGAACCCTACTTCTTAGCCAAAACACCCTGTCTGCCCCCTGGAGAACCTACCTTCCTGTCTGAAACATGGTAGTTACTCATTGCTAGTAATTTCTGCAAATGCAGTTTACCTCTGGGCTTGGTCAGGTGGTTTCTGACGCCCAGGTTTCTTCACATCCCATTTACTGTACTGTATGTACTAGGATTGAGGTGCGTCAGCTTGTAGCCCCTGAAGCCTGAACACAAGAAGTCAGGGACAAAGAGCATGTCAGGCTCATGCTTGTACCCCACCTCCCATTTCTGGAACAGATCACTCCCCACAGGTGTTTTTTGGTGGGAGAGAGGCCTTTTCTCCAAAGCCTGGAAAGAAACCTGAGGTGATGTTGACAGGTGATAATAGTGAGCAAGTGAACATATACTGAGCAATTATTCTAGGCCTTTGCTTCTATCAGTTCTTCCATCCTTGCAACAATAGATAGTTTTTTTTTTCTATTTTTGGAGGAGGCTCAGAGGCTCAGAGTGGTTAGTTAACATATCTAAAAATCACACAGCTAGACAGCCAGGATTTGATCCTAGGTTTGACTAACTCCAAAACCTACACTTTAATCATTGTCTTCTTGATGCTAAAACTTGGCAGAAGGAGGAAGAAACTCCTTTCCTGCTGAGATTCCTGACAAACCATAAGTGGCAAGGCAGGTGGGGATACCAAGTAACTTTGAGATCTGTTGGTTAGGGATGCCTGGCACAAAAGGATCTTAAGGTGCTTCCGACTCGGCAATTCTGTCTCTTTAAGACCCAGAGCTCCCATGCCAGGCCTACACTATGATCCTCAGAGATTTCAGGGGTGGGGAAACCGGACTGAACGCGCTGACATACAACAAGAAAAAAAAAGACCTCAGCATTTTTGCCTCGCCTCGGTGACTCCGGCCTTTTTTCTTCCCCTCTCTTGCTCTCATTTATTTATTACTGTGCTATTCCCTAGCCCTGCTGCTGTGTCAATACTGATAAAAGCAAATCACCCCACAAACAGGTGCAGCCAGAGCTGCCCCTTGGACAGCTGCCAGGGAATGTGATCGCTCAGCTGGGGTGACCTGCCCCTGCCCAGCCCCCTTCTCGGGTTCCAGCCTAGGGCATGTGTCCTTGGGCAGTTAATGTCGGTCTGAGCCTGGTATTTCAGTTGGCATCATTGACTCAAGCTGGCGGGTGTTGTTGGGGTGGGGTGGGTGTGTGCAGGACAGAGGGAGCCTCCAAGAGTTATCTATCTATTTATTTTCTCTTTTGGTTTCTTCCAACAAATTCATAAAATACTATGTCACCAAGTCCCTCCTGCCACTATGTGAAAAGATTTCCTAAGAATATCACTGCCTGACTTGTCTAGGTAAGAAGTATTTTTTCCAGACCTACCCATTTCCAGATTCACACATACACTTGCAATTTAATGATCCAAAAGACATTTTCTGAGTATCTCCTAGGGCTTAGCTGAGGTTTCACCAATAAACATTTTTGAGCCAACTGTGTTATCCAGAATACATTTTGATGCTACCAAGCCATGTGACTTTGACTCGTTTGAAAAAGATTGTATTTCATTCCTCCCTCCCCCATTCCTGTGTTTTGTCCCTAAGCATCCTTTCCCCGCTTCCCTAGGGCACCCGCCTTTCCGGAAATGTCCTAGCCCAGCGGGCAGCTTCCACCTCCCAGGGAGGTGGGACCGGGGCAACAATGCGGTGGCAGCGCAGGCGGGCCTGGGGCTGGGGCTGGGGCTGGCTGGGTGGAGGGCAGGGGCTGGAGCCGCCCTGCAGCCGGGCTGCCGCAGAAGAGCGCAGCTCAGGGAGGGGAGGAGGTTGCTATGCAAATAAGGCTGCAGCGTGCGGGCCCTCCCCCTCTCCTTACCCAGGGGCCCTCCGGTTGCCAAAACAGACCATTCCCCAGAACAGTCGCCTAGAAACGGGCGCTGTCATAGCAGCCTCTCTAGCGGCGAGGCAGCCGCGCTGCCGGGAGGAGCTGGGTCAGGGTGTTCAGACCTCCTCAGCACCCCCTCCCCACCGAGTCTCTACCTCAGGGAAGGGAGTGGTGGCTTGGGCCTCTCCTTGGAGAAGGGGAGGGCGCTAATTGGATTGGAACACTCCAGAAACACATCAGCTGCTCCTCCCTGGGGGAAAGGGGTGTGGTTTGGGGGAGGCTGCAGACTGTCTTTGTGATGACGGGTCTCAGCCTCACCCTCCCTGCAGCCGCACCCTGACCTGGTCCTTACCAGCCTCTGTCCACCCAGAGCCTTCCTAGGGCACAATGGCAAGTTCTTTGTGGAGTGGAGGAGGTAAACATGGATCAGATAATCGCAGAATAAAATTCAGCCATGATAAGGAGGGGTACCTGATGCTACAGGAATTCAAGATACTGGATCTGACCTGCTTTGGAGGGGTCAGGGAGAATTCAGGTTTGCTGCTGCTTCCACGTCTTAGCTACTTGGGTCCTCAACATGCCCTTCTCAGCAGCCTTCCCTCATTTGGACCAGCCTGTGCTGACCTGGGCGCAGTGACTTTTTTCTCCCTCATTTGGCACCAAGAGAGCCTTTTGTCATTTAACTGTGTTTCTTGCCTCTTGTCAATTAAACTACAGTATAAACTTCTAAAAGGCAGAACCCATGTTATTCTGTGAAGGCACACCTTGACCATGAAGGACAAGACAGATTTTAACAGATCCCTTTGAATTTGAGTGCCAGTGATCTTTATCATCCTGGGAGGCCTCTAAGGTTGCCTTTGCAGTAACTTTTAAATTGCCTTCGGAGAATACTAAAACCTCACAAAAGTCTGAAATTAAGGGGAGGAGATCCAGTGGCAGCCTGAGCAACATTAAGCCAACAGGTGGGCTATTGAGAAAGTGAGTGACTATTTAGCACACACGTTCCACGTGGTCCAGATGCTGCTGGCCATGGACAGAGGTGTTATGTGAGCCCATGTCTCAGACAAGGATGGGAGAACAGCTCTGTGCTTCTGGTCCAGGAAGTTCCCTCCCTTCATAATCCACAAGAGGCCTTGAGAGAATTTTGGACTCAAACATCAGATCTTCATTCAGTCTGGCTTAGTAAGGCAGCATGTAATTGTGTGATCGCTCCCTCCTCTTTCTCCCTTACCTTCCTCATATATTGAGTACCTACTGTATGCCAGGCACTGGAGATTCAGAGAAAGATTGAATTGGTATCATTCTATATTTGCAAGGAGAAAAATCATAGTTTAGGGGACATTTGCATGCCTTATGGTCACCAGTATCTTTTGATCATCTTTCCTATGTTTGTGGGTTTTCCCCCCATCATAAATCCCACTTCTCAAAGTGAAGGCGAGGAACGTGCTTTCTTAGACTTCCTTGTAGCTAAGGTATAGGCGTGTGACCTAGATTCCACCAATCAGATGTAGTAACATGAGACTTTGATTTGGAAAGAGCCACTGAGGGAGCAGGCATCCCAGAGAACAGGGCTAGAGGAGGTACCTGGCTTTTAGAGCAGCAGAAGAGATGTTTGGGGATCCAATTTTCACTATTGTTGAAGGGGGTGAGGGGAGGCAAGTTGTAGAATTTGTGCTGATTGATAGCCACCATGTGGCTTTGCTAGAAAAGTACCTCCTGGTGGTCTGGGTATCATCCCTGAATACTGAACCTTCGTAACCTTCTGGATTCTGTGAGCTTCTTAATATTTTTAATAAATTCCTTTTCTGTTAGAGTGGATCCTGTTGTTTGCAGCTAAGAACTCTGATAAAAATGAATGGATGATGAGTAGGTGGGTAGAAGGGTGGATGAAGGGTGGGTGGATGGGTGTGCAGGCACCAAAATATTGAGTGATTCTAGGGGGAGATTGGATTGTGGGCTATTTTTTCTCTCTGGTTCTCTGTATCTTCTTCTCCTCTCTCTCTTTTTTTTAACAGTGAAAGAACGCTACTTGTATAAGAATAATTTTTAAAAGCTACCAGAAACTCAGACCTCGAAAAGCTCAAAGTCCAGTAGCAGATCAGCACGGGGAAGGTAAGCCAACTCTGAACACTGTGGGTTCCGAGCCAGTGTGAGCTCTGGAGAGGCCATGGCTCTGGATTCAGACCCGCTGTCTCAGCCAGTCCGCCCTGCCCAGCAGCGAAAAGCCTGCCTTTTCTCTCCGCCTCCTCAGAACCCAAGGCTGTGCCCACCACTCCGAGGCATGCACTTGGCTCATCCTGCCTTGTGACATTGTTACTATTGTTACCCAACAATCCTATTTTACCTTGAGCAAGGATGACATGCACATTTGTGACTCATCCCACATTGTTCTGCCCTCTCCCAGCTCTGGACTTCCAGTGGCACTGTCTGTCCCTTGGTTGGCAAGGACCACAAACTTGTTCTGCAGCGATTGTTCTCATGAGCTCGTCCCATCGCCCAGGGTAGACTCAGCTCCATGGAGGCTGAGGTTGCAATTTATATGATTTTTGCAACCTCTATTCCCCACAGCTTTGAGGAGTGTAGGATTTTATGATACGTCTATAGAAGATGAGGATCATATGGTTTCTTTTAACCTTGATGACTTCACCATAGTAAAATTATAAACTTTTGCAGGCAGAGACCTTTTTCATAGATGATTGTCTATGATGTGCCAGGCCCTGTGCTGAGTGTGGAAACAGAGAACTAAGTAAGGCACAAATCCTCTTCTTTAGGAGTTCACAGATTAATAGCAAGAAACAGGTATATAGACAAATAAATAGAAAAAAATTGGTAGAAGAGCTTGGGTAGGCAAGTGTACAAGGTGGGGCTAGGGGCAGAAAAGTCTTTTCCGTAGGAATAATATCACAGGCGTATTCTAAGACAGCTCTGTCCTCAGTACGTAATGTGTGTTCATTCACTTAATCCTTGCAACAGCACAAGCCAAGTGCTATTACCCCCATTTTACAGGTGAGGAAACTAAAGCCCTGAGAGAGTTAATGTCTTAACAGGGTTGCACACTGGTGAGCTGAAGGGTTGGGATGGGCACCCAGGCTTCTCTGCTCTAACATCAGTGAGTTTAACTGCTGTGTCGTACTGCCCTAAGAAGATTCTGGAAAAGCAAAAAAGGCTTGGAGGCCTTCTACACAGGCCAGGGCACGGAGGGGCTCATGCCCATCCTACCGTCCTGCTCAGCTAGGACATGGGTGCACAGAACTGTATGGTACAGGGGTGACCACTCAGTGACAGGTGAGAACCCACTACCACAGCCTTGGACTTCAGTCATTCCCTTGGTTTCTTGATGGGTAATTGCAATAGTGAAGAGTAGTGACCTCAACAAAACTGTGAGGTTGGCAGAACGGGATTCTCCTCCCCAAGTGCAGGGAAGACCACTGGCTTTGGAGTCACAGGGACTTGGGATCCGGTCCCAGCCCTGCTGCTGACTGACTGAGTGACCTTGGGCAAGTCACTCAGCATCTCTGAACCTCACTTTTCTTGACTATTAATTGAGGATAATAACCTCAGTGTTGACATAAGATTAAATGAGATAATGCACGTAGATCTGTTTAGAGCTACTGCCTGGCACGTAGCAAGCTGGCCAAAAATGGCACCTGTTTAAGTCCCAATCCTTTATCTACAACTCCAAAACCTAAAAGCTCGGAAAAGGAAACACATCTGGCAACCAAACCTGTCCTGAATGAATGCAAAGCCATTTAAGTCTTTTCTTTGGTCTCGTCTAGTATGCTAATCCATGATCCGTACACTTCATTGCAGAAATATCAATGTGTTTGACTGTAGAATGCTGCCCACATCCAGCTAGAGGCATTACAAAATATATAGTATGAGTACCGCATTGCTTTCTAAAATTAAAAAAAACAAACCAACCCTGAATTACAAAGCATATCTGACCCCAAAGGCAAAGGCATCAGAGAATGGGTTTAAAGTTGCATTATCTCCCCTCTAGACCACTCTGTCCACTTCTCTAATTCTTAATCCCAACTGCTCAAATGGCCCTTGGGCACCTAGAATAATCTTTTCCTCCAACAGAAATACAGAACCATCCACACACCCTTCGGGCCTCCCGCAGACTTGCCTCCTAGGGCTAAGATCCTTTGCTCCCATGTTTCCTCCCCTCTACTTTCTGCCAGTCCCGTAGAACTTCGGCGCTCTTTTCTGCTGTACCCTGGTTAAGAAGGTGGACTTCGGAAACGTGTCCTTCTCTGAACTGTTCTGCCAGTATGGTCTCAGCTAGTTGTTTCCTTCCCACAGGCAGCAGAGCTATTGCAAACGTCAATTTGTGCTTCACATATGACCTGCCGACTGACTAAGTAATGTCTGAGGTAAAAGTGTGCTGCCGCTTTTCAACCGTGCTGAAGCTTTGGTGGTTTTTCCACTATGAATTTCCCCGGTTGACTACAGCCCAGAATAACAACTCCTCTCATTTGCAGGATTGCAACAATTTCCGAAGGGAAAAAGAAGTCCTCGTGTTGTAGCAGGTTGGAAGCCACTGAGCTGGGCTGTCCAGGCAGCGTGTCATTTCCCGTTTAGCCAAGTGGGAGTCATGAGACCTGAGGTCAGGTTCCAGCCCTCCCCTGCCTGCTTGGGTGATCCTGGGGGCAGCCCCGTGTGACTTGGGGAGCTTTGGTTTCCTCATCCTGGAGCAGAGATCATGGAAATTATTTGGCAGGATTGTCAAGAAGATTAAATTAGATAACGAAAGGGCTTTGAAAGCTGACGTGTTGCACAAACGTAAGGATCATTGTTGTCATCGTCTCACACATATTGTCAGCTTCTTAAGGCAGGGACAGTGTCTTCTGTTTTTGTCTTCAGTTCCCGCAGTGCCGCCCACCACCCCGTGAGCCGCACTCAACACAGGGCTGTGGAGATGACCTCGCAGAAGCGCTACAAAGTGACTAGCACGACGGCTCAGCCCCTAGACGTTGCTTCATACGCCGTAGCTATTTCCTGCGTGTGTGCTGCTGTACAGACAGGCGGCACCGTGCAGAGGTTCAGAGCATGGACTGGTTCGAATCCTCTCTCTGTCGTGAGCTAGGTGTGCGCACGTTAGCACTAACCTGCCCTGGTGCCCTCGTCTGTCACACGGCTGATGAGAATAGTAGCTAGTTAATGGGGCGGCTGTGAGAGCTGAAGGAGTTTAGTCTGTGCCACAGAGCCAGGCACAAATCAAGCCCTCGGTAGGCATCAGTTGTTGTGACTATTTTACCGTTATGTCCTGAGCGATGCCTCTAGGGGCAGTCTGAGACGATCATGAGACTGAGAAGTAAGAAATCTAGCTCCTGGATTTTGTTCAGAGTCAGAAAGGCCTTCAAAGACAGTCAGGCCAGGCTCCTGGGGTCAGCACAGATGACGTCACCATGAACCCACTGAGCATCGTTCCCCCAGGTGTGGGCTGGATCCCTAGGCCAGACATCGTTGGGCAAAAAGTGTGTGAATTGAATGTTTGGACAAATATCACAACTGCCCAACATGCAGATGTTTCTGTTCGTGTTCCGTCTCGTCAGAATATGAGAGCCTGTTTCCTCATACCCCAGTCCACCCACATTTTCGAGTGTGAATTGTATCAATTTTTGACTAGGTAGTATGTGCAGATGGCACAAAATTCAAAGAGGTTCAAAGGGGCACACGGTGCGAAGCCTCCTCACCCTTGTCCCGGCCACCTGAGTCCCCTCCCCAGAAACACAAACTTTGATCTCAGTCTACTGGTAAGTGTCTCACTAAGTAAATCTATCATTTTAATGTGAAAACAAACCAGAATGTATTTTGGAGTAGAATGCTGCATTTGAGTGAACTTTCAGATAAAACAGGAGACTTCAAAGACATTTTATGCTCCAGGGTCGGGCAGGCTGGGGAGCTGCTCCTGGCTATGCCTCCTACCTGTTCTTGGGGGAAAAACTTGAGTTTAACTCTGAGTCTCTGAAGTGCAAGCTTTAAGATGCCCCCTTCTCCTCTCCGTTATATTGGGTTTTCCTCATCGCCCCAGTCACCTGTTTTCAATCTAGCCCTTATGCCTCTTCCTGCCCTTGACTTTACCACCACCTTGCTGCCTGAACTTGAGCCAGTCCCCTCCACTCCGGGGCTTCAGTTTTCCTCACTTGTGAAAAGAAGGGTTGGACCAGGCCCATTCCAGGTGTGACATTCCAGGGCTGATCAACTAATTCACAATAAGGTGTAGATAACTGATAACAGCTTAATGTATTACCTCTCCTGTGAGTGGGAGCATTTTAAGAGATGCAATTTCTCATCCCCAAAGAATGAGAGTACCTGGTGCAATTTCAAGCATGGTCACAGGTGAGCAGGGATGCTGTAGGGGGAGGGGTGCCTTTTCCTGGCACTCCTCCAGGGGTCACCAGTGGTAAGGGGAGCTGCTCCAGCCGAAGGCAATGCCAGCCCTGAGGGGACGTGCCTGTTGGTTTCCCCCCAGAACTCACTCCACTCTTGTTTCTCTCTGGCACTGGCCAAGAACAGGGTTTTGTCATACATAAAAAAATGCTTCATCAGGGAAACCCATGTGTGTGGCCTGGAAAACTACTCTGTCCCCTGGGGCAACGGGTGTGGTGGGGGCTGTTAGTAGCTTGACTTCCACGTTCGCAGGTCAGCTCCCATCCTGGGTGAGTGAGGAGACCTCCACCGTAGGGCCATCAGTTTTCTGCCAGAGCAGGTGGTCCCACCACACCTGGATTCAAGACATCTGCTTTTCACCCAGGGAGAAAGACTGCCAAACGCTGTCTGGTTTCATTTTCTGTAGGAGGTTTGGTTTGGCTTCTGAATTTGCAGGGAGGGCGTGAGAGGGGGGTGGCCCGTAGCCACCATAAGCCCATCAGAAATAAGAGAAGTGTTTCTCTGGCTGGTGAGGTCTGGGCCAGCTGGCCTTGTACATGCACAGTGCTGTCGCCCAGCGCGTCATCCTTTCCAGCCCTCGCTGTGCTGCCACTTTGTCCCAACCGCCGTCTGGGTCTCCTGTCAGTGGAGGCAGCTGGGGGGTGGTGTCAGTCGTGCTCCAGCCAAAGCCACAATAGGTAGGAGTTGAAACCAGGGGCACTGGTCAGCTGTGCCCAGTCTGTTGGCTGTGCTGAGAGGCTCAGATCAGGCTGGGGATGGACTTATGTCGTCGTCTGTCCGAATCTCCACCGTCACAGTCCCTCCACAGATGCTTCCCCATGGACACAGGGCTCTAGACCCTCCCTACTCAGCATATGGTCTGTGACTAGCAGCACTGGCCTCACCTGGTTGCTGGTTAGAAATGCAGCATTTCAGGACCCACCCTAGGCTACTGAATCAAAATCCGAATTTTGATAAGATACCAAGTTGACCTGTATGCACATTAATGTTTGGGAAGCATTGATTTAGATGCTGCATGCCTTGAGGAGGTAGGAAGGAAGGAAGGAAACAGAAGCTCCCTGAGGAGGCCTCTTCCCAGGGGAAGACACTTCTATAGACCTGTTCAGTGGAGGAGGGTGGACACGGAGGAAAAGGCTAAGAAAGGCGCTCTAGGAAAATATGCTGAAAGAGGCAGTTGCCATTGACGATTTTGGTTTAGTTTCAACTTTATTTTTAATAGGCAATTCACTTACACAGTTAAAAATCTATGGTACAGAAGGGTATGTCAGCTTCGTTCCCATGCCTATGTCCCAGCCACCTCCCCCCAAAGGCAACCTCTGTTCCTAGGCTAGAGATATGAAATATTATGCAATAAAAGCTGGTGTGTGAGTGTGTCCTTACTCACCAGATCCCTTTTAAAAATTCAAGTGGTAGCCCACCATACAGTGTCTAGATCTTGCTTTTACTTACTTAATACATCTTGGAGATCATTCTATATCAATATGTAAAGAACATCTTAGTCTATATTTCAGCTGAACGTTATTCTACTCTAAGGATGGACCTTAATTTATGTTGCCAGACCCCCCAATGGACTTTTCAAGCATTTTTTTTTAAATGTAGTTTTAGAATCTTGGAACCTGAAAGGTCATTTTGTTCTAAGCTCCCACCCAGCTTAGGAATTCTTCCACAGAATCCTACTGCCCTTCTGAGACCCCAGTCACGTCACCTCTGCTAGGAACTCCACCTCCTTCTCCCATCACTCTGGCAGTACCTTTGCCAAAATCCTAATCACATGGCATCATTAAGGGAAAGGCATGGTAACATTTGCCTTGGTGTCCTCTCGTCCCACGTCCCATCACAATGTCTAGTAGGTGCTCAGTGGAAGTGAATAGAATTGAATTGACCATCCCTGAGAGGGGACTTCTCTACATTCTGCTCCTTGAACACCTCTAATGACAGAGAGCTCACTTCCACAAAAGCCCATTCTGCCTTTGAGAGGCTGTTATCAGAAGGTCATTGGATGAAGCACAGTCTGTCTCCAAGTGGCTTTTCCCTCTGACTCTAGTGCATCTCCTAAAACAACTTAGAAATTTAATCCCTCTTCCAGATCTTTCTCCAAATCAAATAACTTCAGTTCCCCATGGGTCCTGGTTCCAGATCCTTCTCCTTCCAGTGTTTTCTCCCATACATTTTTTTGGTTTATAATATGACCCTTTAAAAAGTGATGTGTGATCACTACATACTTATTAGAATGGCAAAATTTAAAAGATCCACTGTACTAGGTACTGGTAAGGATGTGTAGCAATGGAAACTCTCCAACTGGTGAGAATGTAAAATGGTACAACTTTGAGAAAGAGTTGACAGTTTCTTAAAAAGTTGAACAGATATCTTTCATATGACCTAGCCATTCAATCCCAAGACAAGTGAAATGGTTGGTTGCTAGGGTCTGGGGAGAGGAAAATAAAGAGCTATTGTTTCATGGCTACAGTTTGAGTTGAGAAGATAAGAAAGTTCTGGAGATGGATGGTAATGATGGTTGCACAACAATGTGAATGTACTTAATGCCATAGAACTGTTCACCCGAAAGTGGTTAAAATGGGAAATTTTATGTATGTTTTACCACAATTAAAAAAAAAAGTGGAGCAGCAGGCTGTTCAGTGGTGGGGAAGGCCTGGCCCCTGGGCTGGACGCACAGCCGAGTCTGGATGAGCTGGAGAGCAAGTCGGCCTTGTCAGAGCCAGGAGGAGCCTGGAGAGCAGGTCGACATGCCCTAGTGAGCCATGAAGTCCAGACTGAGAAATTGGGCTTTGGAATCCTCACTGAGTCACTCCTTGGAGTCAAGCCTTTGTCTCCTGGTTAAAATGAACAAGTTCCTGGGGGCGGGGCAACCCAGAGACGCTATGGCTGGCACATGAAATTAATGCAGGTGGGTTTGCTGCTCAGCCACTAGTAACGAGTTGGGGCCAGATGGCACAGCACACTGGGTGGGTAAATCTTGAGGAGAAAAACCCCTCATTGTCTAGGATTCTTACAACTCTGGGCTTGCATTGCAGTTCCTCCATTCAGGGTCAATGTGCCCTTAACTGTTTTGAGCCTCAGTTTCCACACCTGTGATCTCTGTAAACTGGGGATAATAGTAACCTTGTGTAACAGGGATAAAGGGAGAAAGGTCCACGCTAAGTGTTTGTCACTTTTGTCTTCTCCCATCTGCCAAGGAGGAAGGCTGGCCTGTTGGGGTGCTGTTTTGGGTGAGGTGAGACAGAATAAAGCCCACAGTGGGTCAATTTATTTAAAGAATGAAGGAGGAGGGGAGAAGAAGAGGCCAAAAGAACCATTATTGGTTTGGGCTGTGGGAAGAGAGAGGCAGAGCCTCTGGGCTAAGGAGTAGGACTTGGGGAGATAAGAAGGCCCTCTGTTTTGTTGATACACTTTGCCCGTGGCTCTTCCTTGAGAGTTTTCAGGAAAGACCCACTGTGTTAATTTTCAAATTGGAATCCTGAGCTGCTTTTGAAGTCTGTCCTAGGACTTGAGGTGACCTAGTGTATCTGGGTTACTTTTGCAAAATGAGCATCTGTTGAGTCCCTGACACAATGTTGGGACTCAACACATGCTCCCAGTTATTCTGAAAGAAGACAGACTTGGAAGCTAGAGAGACGAGGGCTGGGTATATTCAAAGAGCAGACCACCGGGCTGGGTTAAAGGAGTGTTGGACTCCCAGCCCCTCCCTCTCTCTAGAGCTGTGCTGACCAATTCGGTAGCCGCCAGCCACATGCAGTACTTAAATTTAAATTAAAAAAATTAAAAATTCAGTTCCTAAGTCACAGTCAGCCACACGGAGTATTCAACAGCCACCTGCAGCTAGTGGCTACTACACTGGACAAAACAGAGAGAATGTTCCCATCAGCGCAGACTCTGCCACTGGGTAGCTCTCGTGCTCTAGAAGGCTGAGGAAACAGCCCAAGTAGGTCTCTTTGTTTGTTTATACCCTGACTGGTTCCTAAAAGGATGTGAGGCAGCTGAAGACAGCCTGAGGCCATGAGTCCAGTGTCCTCTGGCTGGAGATGGGAAGGTTGGTGTGTGGGCTGAACTGGGTCACTCGTGAAGTAGGAGAGAGGAGGCCCCAGTGGGCTGAGCTCCGGGGCCCAGA